CTATCTATCTATCTATCTATCTATCTATCTATCTATCTATCTATCTATCTATCATGGCACAACATTTGTTAAGTTGTGTGATATTAACTGTAAGAATTAAAATGAAAATGTAAAAAAATATTGTAGTCATCTGTGTTTACATAAACCAACTTTGTGTTTTTTATTGTAAATTAAAATATAACAATCTGACAATACTTTATCGGTTTTTTAGTAAATATTGTTATTTGTTAAATTTTAGGACATGTGTTATTATCTATCCCTATCATTCAATGTGTCTACATTTGTTTCTTTTTATTGTACAGTGTCCTTGGTTTTCCTCAAAGGCGCTTTAAATAAAATGTATTATTATTATTATTATTATTATTATTATTATTATTATTATTATTATTGTGGAAAGTATTAAAGCGCTGTAAGTTTTCATGCATTTTTTTTACAAGATGTTTCCCATCAAAGGCTCAGAAAAACAAAAACCCAGTTTTAATATCTGGGAAACCCAGCATGTACGGTAGCGTGGCCGAGCGGTCTAAGGCGCTGGATTAAGGCTCCAGTCTCTTCGGGGGCGTGGGTTCGAATCCCACCGCTGCCACAGCATACTTTTCCTGTCTCCTTACAGTGTTTAAAATTCAAGGCTAAAGGTTATGATTTATTATAATTTACAGTTGATGTTACGGGTAATGATATTCGCTTTTTTATTTATTTTACAGGCTAAATCGCTACAGCGTCGCAGCGTCGCTATGGTTGACCTCTTAAAGGGGCCGCCTACTCCAATTGAAAAAAAGTGCAAACATTTCGTTCATTATAAAAAATAAATACAGAAAAACAAAAATAAGACACTGATAAACTTGCAGATTCGATTGCGTGCGGTTAATTATCACGGAATGTGCGTTTTAAATATCGTCCATGACGAATCATAGCGAAGCAGGGAGGTACGTGAAGGCATCACGGACGCTACGGGGAGAGAGGAGGAGGATAGAAGAAAGAAAGGAGGCGAGGAAAGGAGGAAGGACGTAGCCCCGTAATTAATTCATCCACGCAGTCTTGGCGCCAATCCGATTTACGGAGAAATCTATAGAATTTTAAATATCCTAATAAATCTTCGACCAGCCTTTGTTGCCTTCACGTCCACCGGTTGGTGCTACAGCTAGCTTGCCCGGTTTAGCGCACTATCACTGTCACGTTAACTAAACCCTTTTTTTTTCTCCTTTTCTCTTCGGTCGATACTAATAACCGGGACAACAGAGAGGTGCTTTTCTTCGGGGTTCGACTGATAAAACACAGCTACGAAAATGGGGGTGAGACGTGTTTGTTTTGTTGAAATTTTCGCCGCAATGAAAGTTAAATGTTTTCGGATGGTGAGAGGAAAAAGAAAGGGAAAGGAGGAGGGGAAGGAGGACGAGATGGTGCATGGATGATCGTTTGGCTGCATCCAGGCAGCCTAGTTAGCATAGCTGTTAGCATAGCTAGCTTTCCCCCCAACCATTATCACTACATCGTTCTTCCTGTTTCGATTGTTATATCCTGGTGTGTGTTGTGCTAATGCTAGCCAGGCTATGCTAGCTAATAAAGAATGGCGTTTGCTAGCTGTAATTGCTAATCACCTGTGTGTACCTTTACCCAGCAGGCCCGAATGGTGCCTTTTATCATCTGCTGTTAAACAAAACCAAGCTAGCTCCCAGATGAAGCACAACCAAAAATATACAACAAACTTCTCTACTTTCTTTGTAGTTTTGCTTAAACTCACGGTGCACGTGTTTTTCAGTCAGCTCTTTTTTTTTTTGTGCCTGGTACACACAGTTAATTCTCTCCGAGCTCAAAAAGTTGGCAACTCGTTGCATTCCTCATTGTTGCCTCCTTGTCTGCTCAAGCCTGGAATGATGAATGAGGGACTTTTAGGGTTAATTGTCCATGAAAATGCGGAGTGAACACACAGATTCTAAATTATTTAATATGTAAAGTTGCTTAGGGTTTACTGTGGTTGCTGGTGTTCAGTGCAAAAAAAAAAAAGGCATTAAATTTTAATGGGATACTTGCAAATCCAGTCCGACTTTAATGGGGAATCTGTTTGTACAGCATTTGTTATTAATTAACACAACACAGGTATTTTATTAGATATGCTTTTAACTATAAAACAATCAAACGATGACAAGAATTGCTAATGTAAAATGGAGCATTTATATAATAAAATACAGTTAAACCCTTACAGAATTTGGTCAATTTAAACATTACCAAACAAATTATTATCCTAGTCTATATTTATCATTATAACTCATGTTTTGGGGTTGTTTTAACGTTAGAAACATGCAAAATATCTTAAACTCTACACACACTAGGGTTGGGCAATATTGGCAAAAAAATTAATCACGATTAATTGTGGTATTTAGCCGATAACGATTAATTTGACGATTAATCCCCTGGAGTCCCTGGACACCCTTATTTCATAGTCACATGACTAATTTAGTGGGAAAGATTTGCTTTTCATAAAAATCTGTTCCAAACTGTGTCAAAATCACAGACTTCAGGCTTTACATCATATTTTAAATTGTGTTGATAGATAAATAAATTACAGACCTTTATTTTAATGTTTGTCATATTTGAAGCTGAGAGGAGCAGCGAGCGGACTCTGCCTGCTGGCATTAATCGTATTAATCGTCAAGTGCCAAAAAGTAATCGATTTAATGTTTTTCTGACGATTAATTGCACACGATACGATTATGCCCAACCAACACACACACCTTTTTTATTGGTTTCCATTTTTCAGTAAATAGTGAGAGAATTAATTCACATCAAAGTAAACTTTCCAAACATTGTATTTCTTTGGTCCACGGGTCACCATTTGATTATCACTGGATTAGGATTTGTTTCTTTTCGCTGCTCTTAAGATTGATGCCCCAGCAGGGCACAGGCTCTGTTTATATTAGATAGCAGACTGCGTCTATAGTAACATCACAAAATGTTTGGCAAAATGGATCTTTTACATGGATCGTGGCTGCTCTGCTCATTTGTATTTATAAACTTGGTACAGGAAAAAAAATAATTTAGTGTTTGGTAGATAATTTATTTGTTGTAACAATGCATCTTGGTAATAAATCTTATAGCAGGCACCTGATTGGCAGCACCTGGGGGTACCAAGAGCTCAAAACAAAGAGTCAATAACAGCAAAATAATCTGTTTGGCAGAGAGATTTGGCAATTTCTTCATGTGCACAACCCACATACTCAGCTCTACTGCTCATCCCACCAATGCATGTTCCTTACAAATGTGGCGCCGTTTAAAAAGGAAACGAACAGGGTTTCCAGCAGTATAATATTTATTGCTAAGAAGCATTATTACAACAAAGAAATAATCTACAAAAACAGAATCAATCGCTTTTTGTTCTAAGTATAGTTAGGGACCTGATAAAACTCTGGAGCCTAATCTGACTGATTACTTTTTCAGACAGAAGGGTTGTGTAGCATCACTTAAAGGCACAGACATTTATTTTGATGCTTTGTCCACCATTGTTAGCCTCCCCGCTCTTTCATCAAATTCCTGTTTTGCTAATTTCCTCCTTTGTTTCCTGCGTTCAGAGGAAGTCCAGCAGAGCGAAGGAGAAGAAAGCGCGGCGTCTGGAGGAGAGGGCGGCCATGGACGCCGTGTGCGCCAAGGTGGACGCAGCCAATAAGGTGATTTGGTGGCAGAAACGACCTGTTTGTGGTGAAAGTCATTATTTATTTTCCATCGTCCTGCATAATGACAAAAGCCAAGGATACCCCGCCTGATCTCCACATGACAGCAGAAGCTAAAATCAGCACCGTTTGCTTGGTTATGCATAATTAATCGGCGTCATTAATTGCCACCCGTCAAGTGGAGTGTCGAGCTTCCGCAGCTCGGATGTCTGAGCGAACCGTGCCGAAGTCTGGAGAGGAACTAAAGCTCCAACTCCCACCTCTCGCTGAGCTGCAGCTGCCTCCTCAACAGGCTTCGCCTCGTCCCGTTACGCCACTTTCAGACCAAACACCACCGACCGTCCCCGCATCACAACCGAGCGTCTTTATCTGACAGATGGCGGCGTTAAATAAATAAATAGCAGAGCTGCCCTAATTCTCCCGCTCCTCGGGTTTCCTGCGATAATTGGCTGCAGCGGCGAGTCTTTTTTTTTGTTCACAACCTGTCAGGCAAAATAACAGTAAAATCACATTTAAAATATTTTTTGCTGGAGTTTCTGCTGATTGTCCTCAATAAATTAAATCTGTTTATGATTTTTCCTCATCTTTGAACCACAATACATCTGGTAGTTAGTTTTCTGTTTATTTTATGGCAGAATAAAGTGCTCTAATGAAGAAATTACAGCCACACAAAAAAAATTTTTGTGGGGTATTGCGTGTTTAAAGTTAATATCACTGAAAAGTAATATATTCTACTAGAATATAGTTCCTGGAGAAATTATGAAAGGACTGGCCATGTGCCGTCCAGTTTAAATAAATATCTGAATTTACTGTTTGTTAGAGATCACGGTGATTTACTACCATCCCAAATTTGAGCCAGATATGTCTAAAAATGGCTGAATTATGGTCAATTTTGCATTTTAACTATGGCAGCCATCTTGGATTGGTTCGCAGTGCCTTCCTCTGTTCTCATTCATTTGATATGGCGAGCCCTGACTAGGTTTACAGTATATCCATGTATAAAATGTTTTAAGATGACAGCAGCTAACTTTGACTTGGCTCAGACTAGCCATTGCCTCCTCAGTTTGAACAGAATTATCTACCAACTGGTAAGATATTTATTGTTTTTAACCTTTCAACAGGACCACAGTTCAGTTGCAATAAACTGTAACAAAAAGGCCTTATTGCGCTGCAAGAACTGGCTTCAAACTCGGGTTTAGCGTGTTAGCGTTAGCCCTTATGGCCCAGTTCCACCTGTGATTTCTTGAGCCCAGAGATGCTCATTGGTTGGTTCACTGACCGTTTGTTTACGTCAGGGGTTCTCAAATGTTTTGGGTCTGGGGACCCCTTACAAAGGTGAAACATTTCCAGGGACCCCCACCTAAACCTCATGCTCATTTAAAAATAATTTACTGACATTTTAACCCCTATATGTCATGGGAATAATTATTGTTTGTTTGGTTTTTATGTTTACTTGTACATTGTTCCACATAGAACGCTAAAATTAAAAACTAAAATCAGTGACTTATTGTAATTTTTTGAGGACCCTCAAGCTACAGTTTATGCACCATGAATTGTTTGCAGCGACTGTTTTTTTTTTCCACACTTTTTGAACTAAAGTTTGAGCTAACATTGGTACCATTAGCTTACCCTTTTTTTTGCCATCTTTTCTAAATCGGTCACATCCGGTACAGTCTTCAGTATTGTTCCTTCAAGTTTGGCGTACTCCGTTGTAGGCATGGGCCGGATACCGGTTTCAAGGCATACCGTATATCACGGTTTGAAAACCCATAAAATGTTTCATGCCTACGGTATAAGCGTTTTGTTTTTCCTCCGGTCTGTGCCGCTGCAGACTCCTCCCCCGTGCACCCCTGCAGAGCTGCCTGTCTGCAGCACTCTGTGTTACGGCTGAAGGAAGAGAGTTCCCCAAACTTTTCCCCTGTCTAAAATAATAAATCCATCTATTTGAAAATACTTTGGATGCTGTAAAAAGACAGAAAGTCTTGTGGACTGTAGAGGCAACATGTCTGACATGATCGCAGCTCCAGGTAAACTTTATGCTATCTTGAAATGAACAAGCTAACTTTAGCATCAGATATGTTATCACCGTATTGCTGTGGTTTAATGTGCCGATCACAGCTTGTCTGCAAAACTGTTTGAGTTGTTGGATTGTGTATTTGACAAGTTTTAAGCGAAAGGTGATAAAACTGAAGGCCTCCTTTAGCCAAGCAGCTCGTTAGCCGAACGTGCGTTTCATAAACACGCATTCATAGTTGTGATTTCTTGTTTCTGTGTATAATTATATAATCTTTACGTCAAAAACTCCTTTGTCATTTAAAACACAATAAAAACTCCCAACGTGATACATTACTTCAATAAAAAGACTTGTGCATTATACAGTGGGGAAAATAAGTATTTAGTCAGTCACCAATTGTGCAAGTTCTCCCACTTAAAAAGATGAGAGAGGCCTGTAATTGACATCATAGGTAGATCTCAACTATGAGAGACAAAATGTGAAAAAAAAATTTGAGAAAATCATTTTGTCTGACTTTTAAAGAATTTTTTTGCAAATAATGGTGGAAAATAAGTATTTGGTCACCCACAAACAAGCAAGATTTCTGGCTGTCACAGACCTGTAACTTCTTTTTTAAGAGGCTCCTCTTTCCCCCACTCATTACCTGTATTAATGGCACCTGTTTGAAGTCGTTAACAGTATAAAGACACCTGCCCACAACCTCAAACAGTCACACTCCAAACTCCACTATGGTGAAGACGAAAGAGCTGTCGGAGGACACCAGAAACCGAATTGTAGACCTGCACCAGGCTGGGAAGACTGAATCTGCAATAGGCAAGCAGCTTGGTGTGAAGAAATCTACTGTGGGAGCGATAATCAGAAAATGGAAGACATACAAGACCACTACTAATCTCCCTCGATCTGGGGCTCCACGCAAGATCTCAGCCCGTGGGGTCAAAATGATCACAAGAATGGTGAGGAAAAATCCCAGAACCACAAGGGGGGATCTAGTGAATGACCTGCAGAAAGCTGGGACCAATGTTACAAAGGCTACCATCAGCAACACACTACGACGCCAGGGACTCAGATCTTGCAGTGCCAGACGTGTCCCCCTGCTTAAGCCAGTCCATATCCAGGCACGTCTGAAGTTTGCTAGAGAGCATTTGGATGTTCCAGAAGAGTATTGGGAGAATGTCATATGGTCAGATGAAACCAAAGTAGAACTATTTGGTAAAAACACAACTCCTCGTGTTTGGAGGAAAGTGAATGCGGAGTTGCATCCAAAGAACACCATACCAACTGTGAAGCATGGGGGTGGCAACATCATGCTTTGGGGCTGTTTCTCTGCAAAGGGACCAGGACGACTGGTCCGTGTACATGAAAGAATGAATGGGGCCATGTATTGTGAGATTTTGGGTGCAAACCTCCTTCCATCAGCAAGGGCAATGAAGATGAAACGTGGCTGGGTCTTTCAGCATGACAATGATCCCAAGCACACTGCCAGGGCAACAAAGGAGTGGCTTCGTAAGAAACATTTCAAAGTCCTGGAGTGGCCTAGCCAGTCTCCCGATCTCAACCCCATCGAAAACCTTTGGAGGGAGTTGAAAGTCTGTGTTGCCCGCCGACAGCCCCAAAACATCTCTGCTCTAGAGGAAATCTGCATGGAGGAATGGGCCAACATACCAGCAACAGTGTGTGCCAACCTTGTGAAGACTTACAGAAAACGTTTGACCTCTGTCATTGCCAACAAAGGATATACAACAAAGTATTGAGATGAACTTTTGTTATTGACCAAATACTTATTTTCCACCATTATTTGCAAAAAAATTCTTTAAAAGTCAGACAAAATGATTTTCTCAAATTTTTTTCACATTTTGTCTCTCATAGTTGAGGTCTACCTATGATGTCAATTACAGGCCTCTCTCATCTTTTTAAGTGGGAGAACTTGAACAATTGGTGACTGACTAAATACTTATTTTCCCCACTGTACACTGATTTGTCTTAATAAAGCAGTGGAAAATCAGTTATCCTGTTAGATGTAAACTTTATCAGGATAATATAATTGCTTTAGGTGCTAAAAATCATAAGTATAAATGCACACAGGTAAATAAAATTTTAACAAAACACCTCTGAGATATAAAAAACAGCTTCCTAAGATAATTAAAGTTCAATATGTTAATAGAAAAGTTATTTTCTCTTTTTTTAAATACCAATTTCAAAATAAAACATTTTAAAGCTGAAAAACCGCAAAATCATGATATTTTTGCCCAAGGTTATCATACCGTCATAATTTCATACCGTCCCACGTCTACTCCGTTATTGTTGCGTCGCAGATAAAACAAAATAAGATTTGCACGTGTTTTATTATTATGACCCCGCCCATATGGGGGCGGAGCTCTGCTCAAAGCTAACACAAACAGGGCAGGAGAGTATAGTAAGGCCGAGTCGGGCCTTACAATGTAGAAATGCGTTAAAGTCGCTGCTGAATTCCTTCAATATGGGGGGAATTTTAAAAACAAAATGATCTTAAAGTTGTTCTTTCTTCTCGCAGCTTGAGGACCCCCTGGCTGCGTTCCCAGCCTTCAAAAAGTACGACAGAAATGGGTACGGACTGCTTTGTGCTCTTATTCTGTAATCGCTGATGAAGACTTCCTTCTGTTTGTTTGATGTGAGTTTTCTGTCTGGCCCAGGCTGAACCTACAGATCGAGTGTAAGAGAGTGACCTCCCTGAACCCGCTGGCCGTGGAGTGGGCCTTCGAACTCACCAGAGCCAACATGCAGGCGCTGTAAGACATTTGTTTGTTTGTTTTTTCGACAGTAGGTCAAAGTGACCCAGATTTTACTGAATCTGAAAACTGTCTTCTGCTGCTGCAGATACGAGCAGAGCGAGTGGGGCTGGAAGGAGAGGGAAAAGAGGGAGGAGATGAACGACGAGAGGGCGTGGTACCTGCTGGCCCGGGACGCAGACTCCACCCCCGTGGCCTTCTCTCACTTCAGATTCGACGTGGAGTGCGGGGAGGAGGTTTTATACTGGTGCGCTGCTCTTCAGTGCATGTTTTTATATCTTCTATTCCCATTCAGCGGTTTTTTGTTTTCCTCTCTGCTCCGCAGCTACGAGGTGCAGTTAGAGAGCAGAGTGAGGAGAAAAGGGCTCGGCAAGTTTCTCATCCAGATACTACAGCTCATGGCTAACAAGTAAAAACCTCTGCTGCTTCTTCTTCTTTTTTTAATGCTAAGCGTGAACAAATGAAGCAAAGTGTTTTTGTCTCTGTTCAGCACACAGATGAAGAAAGTGATGCTGACGGTCTTCAAACACAACCACGGGGCGTACCAGTTCTTCAGAGAAGCTTTACAGTGAGTACAACTGTTTGAAAGACATATTTATAAAGTGGTGAGATGCTGACCTCTTAAAGGGAAATTTAAAATGAGCAAACAGGCAGAGAAGAGAGAAAATAAATGGTTCAGTTCCAGAGTTTTATGCATTAGAATCATATGGAGCTAAAATGCGGCCAAAAGTTTTTTCGAAATAAAATTTCTTTGAAACTGGGGGGAAAAAAAATAAAATAATAATAATAATAATAAATTTGAAACACTTTCAAATCCCTTTTTTCTGTTTCAAAATCATTTTATTTTGAACAAAACGTATGGCCCAAATTTAGCTCCATACAATTAGTCCTGTCGGATTTTGGGAAAAACTATTAGTTTTTGTCGAACCCTGAGATAAAAGAATTTAGGAAATATACATGTTTTCTTCTAGAGCTGCACAGTATCATTTGAGCATCATCAAATGTACATGTGAGCTGTAGTCACACTGCAGGTCCTGTGATGTAGGAGGCTTTTTAAATCTGGGGACTAAGTCGTTGCACTAAACAGTTGTGTGTCTGCTTTTATTTTGAAGGTTCGCTTCATAAAATATCTTACATCAGTCTTTCAGAAGTCTTAAAAATGTTAAGTAGGATGATTGTAATATGTCTCAAATATTAAAATAATTGGTAATATTTATTAATATTTTTTTAAAATGTAATATTTTAATTAAAACATTTTTATATTTGTATTTTTTAATAATTTACTAAATGCTAATTTGTAATAATTTACAAAACAAACATCTGGCTAAAATTGTCGCCAAAAGTTTTTGGGTTTTGTTGTGAATTTGGTCTTTAAATTTAATTTCAAGTGGCTTTAAAAGGGTTTAACTTGTCTGAAACTGTTGGAACTGTGCAGAGAAGTGTTCTCCGAAAAGTTTCACAACAAAATTAACATTTTTTGTTTTTCCTGACGCTTTTGTTGTTGGAAGAAACCCGCCAAAATAAAAGCCGTAACATATTTACTAGGGGTGCAACGATACAGAAAATTCACGTTTCGGTTTGATACTTAAGTTTCACGGTTTCATATTTTTTCATTACAAAAAGAGAAGTGTTCGTGCCCCTCTTACCTTGTAATTTATTTAAATTAATTATGAACAATTTTTTAACCTCAAAAGTACAGTTTTTAAATTAAATTTAGCTGAAACAGCAAGTTTCTCAGTGGATCTGCGCTGGACATGCAGCCTAGGTGGAGTAGTCGAACACAGATCCACTGATCCGTCAACACAGCATCTTCAGAAGACAAGTTGATAAAATAAATTTTAAAAAAATCTGTATTTTTCCAAACACAGTGTGAATTGATCCTAAAGCATTGATACAGATACATGTATTGTTGCACCTTTAATGTTTACCCATAATGCCTAGCGCCCTATTTAGTGAAAGTCAAGCAGCACGGCAGTGGAGGGGTGATGGTCTGGGCTCATGTTGCAGTCACAGAGTTTACATTAAATCTGTCTGACCTGATCAGTTCGTTTTTCTCCTGACGTGTAAAACCACAGGTTACCGCCTTCATTGACTCATATTTGCTGAATAAGCTTTTTTTTTTTTTTTCTCTACTAGATTCGAGATCGACGAGACCTCGCCGAGCATGTCCGGCTGCTGCGGGGACGACTGCTCCTACGAGATCCTGAGCAGGCGGACCAAACACGGCGAGGCCTCGGCGGGGCACCCTCACGGCGGCGGGCACTGCGGGGGCTGCTGCCACTGATCGGCCACGCCCCTCCGAGCCCCGCCTTTCGGCTGCGAGTCGGAACCCGCTGTCGGGTGAAATCTGTTTAGTTTTGTGTATCTGTTCGTTCTACAGAGGCTCAAACCTTCACGTGTTACTACTTCTTTTTTTTTAACTTTCCCTGACTTGTTGCCCTCCTCCTTTCATCCACTCAGACCTGACAGTTATTCCCAATCAGAAAAAAGAACTGTGAAGACCACTGAAACAGTTTTTTTTTCTTTAATCTGTATAAATAACAGAAAATAAGATTTAAAGTTAATCTGTAATTTTCTTGACCTCATGCTTCTTTAACAAATCTGTCACAAATGAAGTTTTATTCATGTCAACAGAAACAAAAAGCTGCAGTTTTCAACCACGATATGTCATGAAACATCCTTTTAGTTCATGATTTACTTAAATATCCTGCTTTGATTTTACTTTTTTAAATTTTGAATCTAAACATGGCGTTTTCTTCACCTCGTAGTAAAATCTTCCTCTTCTCTTCTTGTTGGTTAAACTCCATATTTAAACCTGGTTGGATCAGAGGTTCAAATGAAAGTTATCTTTTAGGTTTAAATAGTGAGAATACATTAGTTTAATTAAAAAAAACCTCTGTCTTGTGTCGATGCTTTCAGATGGAGGAGAAATGCTGCGTTGTTAAAACTGCATCTGCATGGCGGGCGATCAGACGCTCTTATTTTTGTCACTTTTACAAACTCGCGTTCATCTTTTCTGATTTTTCAAAGAATCTGCTTTTAGATGCATTTAATTATTAAACTAGTTTACTGTTTGGATTTAACTAAGCGGGGGATTAGTGGTAAAATAAGAACTTATTTTGTTTGAACATTCCTTTTCTCACTTTTTAGTTTTTGGTCAGTTTGTTCAGCATGTCTGTGAGGATTTTAAGTTTTAAAGTGGTCGTATCTGAGGTTTTGTACGGTTTAATGTTCAGAAAAATGACTCGGACTGGATGAAGTTAAATTAAAATGTCATTTATCACAAAGAATACAATGTATTGATAATTAATATGAATCAAGTGTTGAAAGTTACTGTTTTTGGAGAAACGTTATTGGTTTGTCAGTGATTGGGATCAACAAAAACACCTTCTCGGTGCTCTAACTCGTGTTTTGTAAGGTGGCAGGTAAAAGACGCCGTTGTACATAGTGCTGGTAAATAATCGACTCAGTTTCTCTCTCAGGTCAAACATGTTCAGACCTCGTCTGTCTTTGGAGAACAATCATCTCATCAGCTTGTCGTCAGGGCCGTCGCATCGCTCTGATCCACTGTAGACATTACAGAAATAGTTCAAACACTGAAATCCTTTTAAACAACTCGATTTGATTTTGAAATCTCATCCAGATCATTAAAAATGGGAGTTTTGCATGGATTAGATTTGGCTTTAAATCTGCTCAGTGGTTTTGATCCAAACAGAACGACTTCTTACTGATGTCTGACTTTTTTTTTTTTTTTAGTATACAGTGTTTATTTTTAAAGGCCAGTTTTTTTCCTTTCAAAACTGATGATAAAACATTTTGTCAAATGCTTCTCTCTCTTTTTCTTCTGTGTATATAAATATAAATATATATATAAACTGTTGTGGATCCATCCTCCTCTCTCAGCCCGTTTACAGGCAAAACACTTTTTTAAACATTACGTTAAACTAAGGAAAACTCTGTGGTTTGGGTGAGTGTTCAGTAGTTTTTTTCCATAAGTGACGATGAAAGGGAAAGTCATTCTGCCTTGTTCAGTGTTTTATTTGTATGTTACAAATAAAGAAAAGTTGCCTGACTTCACGAGAACGCCTTTTTGTCTTTTTATTTAATTTAAATGAAGATCTTAAAGAAAGAAAACGTTTTAAATCCAGGTTAAGCATGAAAATTTGGTTTAAATGAGATTGTATACATAAATTCTTAGTTTTAATTTTGCTGTTCTATCATCCCTAAAAGGTCAAACAAAATAAAAAATTAACATGATTACTTTGACTTGACATTATGATCCAAAACATCTCCAAACCTTTCTATCCCAACGATGCAGTTTAAGAATTTCATATAATTGTTAAAGATCAGTGTTTGATTTTGTGATTTATTTAAAAAAAAAACTCATCTTTGCTATTTTGGGACCATAAATTGTGTTTATTTGCTGTTAATGTAATATGCACAATATCTAGATTTTTAATTTTTTATTACAATTTTCATTAAATCTATTAACAATTAAAAAACTATACTATTGTCAAAGTTAAACTTACAACAGGCTGGTTTCGCTTCTGTGCGGAACTGATTATGTTTCCAGGGGGACTCATTATCGCGTCGCACCGGCACCGGACGTTGTTGGGGATATTTTGCTGCAGAAATGTTGGGTGAGATGAATGGTTGTTGTGATCCACCGAGGCGCCTTTGAGCTCACATCTGTTCAAGATGACATGAAGCTTTAAAACCATCACCCGCTGACTTCCGTCGTTTCCCGCCGATGGTGAGCGAAAAATAAAATCAATGTCGAAGCTTGTTTTTTTTTTTTTCTATTTTTATAAGCTTTAACTCACTTGTTCGTCGTGTTAATTATAAAATTCGATCTTCTCTGTGTTCGAGCCCAGTCTCAGCTTTCAACATCATCCGCCTTTAGAGGACAAAAAGACATGGCTTTATTTTTAGCTTTAGCTGGCTAACTGATTTAAAACTATCGCCACTGCGCATGCGCAGTAACATTCTCACTGCACAGCCTCCACAGAAGGAACAAAACAGTTAAAAAAGGGAAGGAGTGATTTAAAACAAACTATGTAATTTGTTTCCATCCCAACAGCTGGTCTGGGTGCCATGGCAGCCAGGATGAAGCTGAAGCTAAAGACTGTGTTTGTGCTCTACTTCATGGTGTCACTGATGGGCCTGGTCTACGCACTGATGCAGCTGGGTGAGTGGAGGGCAAATACACAGGTGTCACATTTAAAAACTGATAAATATCTGATCAAACACAGCTGGTAATGATCCATAAACCCCAAATAATTTACCTCATACCTTACTGATAAATCAGTTACACTCATTAAAACCCTAAACTTCACTGGCGCTCTTGTTTTATTTCAATATTTAGAGGTCAAATTCTACTTTATTAGATTGTTTCAGCCAATTAGTAATAAGTCTCAACAATAAGTGCGATGACAAAGTGACGGAGAACTAAAACTGAGCAGGTAAAAGTCACTTCCTGCCACAGTTTTGCGTGGTTGCAGGTAAATTTGTGGTGTCCTGTCCTCCGCAGGTCAGCGCTGTGACTGCTCAGAGCACGACCTGCCCAAAGACCGGGCCATCTCTCGCCTCCGCGACGAGCTCCACCGTCTCCAGGCTCAGATCAGGAAGCTGGAGGCGACGAAGCAGCCTCAGAACCAGGGGCACAGGTCCTCCCTGCCCACCATCTTTGTCATTACTCCCACATACGCCAGGTGGTGTTTATTTCCTCTTCGACCCCTCAAGTCTTCGTTGGTGTGGTTTTTTTTTTTAACTTTTGTTTATCATCATTCAGGCTGGTTCAAAAGGCCGAGCTGACCCGCATGTCCCAGACGTTCCTCCACGTCCCTCAGCTCCACTGGATCGTCGTGGAGGACTCACCGCGCAGGACGCCTCTGGTGGCCGAGCTGCTGAGGAAGAGCGGCCTGACGTACACCCACCTGCACGTGGCCACCGCCAAGGAGCGCAAACTGCAGGAGGTCTGGGTCGTACCCTGAGCCGGGACGTTGTAGCTGTAAACGCCAGTTCTGACCTCTCGCTCCCCTTCCTCCCCGCCCCCCTCAGGGTGACCCCAGCTGGCTGAAGCCCCGCGGGGTGGAGCAGAGGAACGAGGGACTGCGGTGGCTCAGAGAGGACAGACGGGACCAGAACCAGCAGGGCGTGGTTTACTTCGCCGACGACGACAACACGTACAGCCTGCAGCTGTTTGAAGAGGTGCGACCCGGAGGGTGAGCCGGCTCCTCTCCTCCGTTTCAGACGTCTGAAAACATCCTGTCGTCTCGTTGCAGATGAGAAACACTCAGCGGGTGTCCGTTTGGCCCGTGGGCCTGGTCGGGGGCATGAAGTACGAGAGCCCCGTGGTGGAGGGAGGGAAGGTGGGTGGTCGTTCGCTGCTTCGTGGAAACAAGCGTTTCCACACGTTTTGAACTTCGTGTTCTCCATCGTTGAAGGTGGTTCGCTTCCACACCGGCTGGAGGCCCAATCGGCCCTTCCCGATGGACATGGCCGGCTTCGCCGTGTCCCTGAAGCTGGTCCTGGCCGATCCCAAGGCCTGTTTCGACGGCGAGGCGCCCATGGGCTTCCTGGAGAGCAGCTTCCTGAAGGGTCTGGTCACTCTGGATGAGCTGGAGCCCAAAGCAGAAAACTGCACGAAGGTAAGAAGTCTGAGTCAGGGACGAGTTCAAAAATGCTACTGTGAATGCCTGGCTTTGAATATCCCATCACATTTTAAGAGGGAAAGTGGTTACAATCTGAAGGGATTAGAAATGTTTGTAAAACCTAAAATTCAAATAAATTTAAAGGACAGATGTACTTCAGTCCAAGGAATACGATTATGGATACTCTGGATAGTGATTGTAAAAATGCTGGCTCAATTAATTAGTTTAAAAGAATGATTAAAAATTATTTGTTAAAGAAATATGAAATTCTATAATTTGTATTTATAAGAGCTGCTGTTTAGGAGCTGAAGTTTTTGTTTTGTTATTGTATGAACATTGTTACTGTTTGAAACTATTGTGCAGATACTATAAGATTTTTTTCTTCTTCTACCTTTCA